CCTGAGTGTACGAAACAATCGATCGTCAAAAAGCCCAACATTAAGGTTTAGTTGTGGAGAGATTGTAACACTTTGAATACCTTGAACGTCTTTTCACCTGATCTTAAATGGTTTCACCATATACAAAGTAACCCACCACATTCTATGCATGCAACGTCTGAGGATGTTGTGTAGAACTAATAAATTCATGTACTTATGCACATTGTCTTTAGACTTACTGTTCCCCGTTATCTTCCAGTGACGGTAGTTTAAAGGTGTTATTTTGATTAGACGCTTCTCTAAAAGCATTTCCCAGATATGGGAGTATTTTGCATGCCGTGCGATTTAATTCTCTCTGACGCCTCTTTGACCCCTCCCCTATTGCTTTATATCCCGTTTTTCCAACCGAAATCTATTGGAAATTATGGTACTCAGCGTCGCATTTTTTGTAACTCCTCCCTAAATGCAATAAAGCAGTTACTTGACTTGACCTGACTTGTCTCATCTTGTTCAGTTATTGGTTTAAAACAAACGGTTATCTGATGAATTGAAACAAAATCCCATGCAGTTCTGCTGAAAATCTTAACTTTCGTAAAGCAGTTTCCTCCACCTATATCACTACACAATATACTATTGGTCAAAAACTGATGAATTCACCTTGCCAGAACATACTGTTCAACCGTTTGCGAGGATAGACACCAAAACTAACACGACAGCACTTTTCCACTGAAAAATTTTATTCACAGTAGACGGATAAAATAGTCTCGTGAAATAAGTATTGAGAATGGGTGAAGGTATTCGCATATTAAGACACGCTATAATATGATGGGTGGGGTATCTCGCACGTCACCGCATAGGTACCTTCCACAGGTGATGCTTGTCGAGGCGGGTAATGGTTGGGGAAATGTCAAGGGTGGTCAGAATAAGTATAAATACATGAAAAGCTCAATCAGCGAACTTGACCATATAGGTGGCGATAGGCTTCCTAGATGATTGGCTTAATTAGCTGTTGGAGACGGAGAGTGAATTGGCTGTCGTAATCAGAAGCGTTTGTGTACCTATTTACTATCTACGCGTATTTAGTTAACTATTTTATTGATCGGCCAAATGGATGAACGGTAGCAACCTAAAACGGCACAGAAAAGCAAAGTCAATAGCTGTATAAACTGAAACGAGTAACTCTCTATCCTATTTCGCTTTTAGCGGCCGAATTCACGCATCAACAATTTTTGAGAAATAGGAAAAATGATGTAAGTAAAAAACCCCACAAAAATGAAAGGTGTAAAGTGTGAGGAAATTAATTGTGCTGGTCAAGTAACTCACGTTTGCATCATAGTCACCTCTGGATAGCTGAACGAAATCAATGCACCAAAATGGGAATTGTAAAGAGATAATAAAAACAACCGATGGCTGACAGTAAACATTGCACAATACTCTGTGAGCGTTAAAACTTGGTAAGAGCCAACTGACCTTTTTCTTTGCCGCACGCCGATGTTTGTGGTCCTGCAGCATTTCATGACTCCACAAGTCGAAGAAGAAACTGGGGTCTGAGTATATTTTCATGCTGATTTTACCGTCATCACGCAGTTTATCCATCTGCTGCAATGGTGGTGCCGGATCTGCGCGTTCGTAGCAAGCTCTCATAGAGGGAGGAATGGTATTCCGACTGAGAACTTGACTGTCTGCAGGTTTTTTACTAGCAAACGGAGGTAGCTGAACCGGCTGGACATTAGCAGTCAAGTCTTCATCTCCTTTTTGCATATTCTGTACATCTTCCTGAAGGTTCGCAAGACGATTTTGCAGTCTCATTGTTCTTTCAGCCAAACTGGACAGTTCGGTTGTTAATTCTTCGAACATGTTAGTGGCTAACTGACTAATTGATGCCATCTGACGCATTAGGTTGCACAGTGTCGCATTAGCCACAAACTCCAGTTCGTTATCTACGCCATTAGGCACAGGAACCTGGCTGACTTTGACCGGTTGAACCGTGTGCTTTGGAAGCGGCATCGCGGTCGGGAAAAAGTGAACCGGTCTGAAAAATAGCAAACGTTTAGGCACAAACGAATACGAAAGCAGTACAGGTTTTGAAAATGAAAAATTAACTGACTTAATTTCGCAAACCAGTTCGTTTGATACTTTTACGTGACAGCTCACGTTTTACTTTTTAATTACGCACCAACTCCATTTAAAGACTATACCTAGTTATATAAGCTTTCCAGATTTCATTCTAAGGAAGGTTCACATGTGGGAAAGCGGCTAACTCGTGTGAATACAGTTCATTGTTTATACACTCATCCGCATTATCATACCTTTTTTAAAAAACATGTGACCCCATGGTCACGAAGATCTGCTGTTCAGTGATAGAGGGGCAATCTAAGCCCCGAAACTTGGAGTGGTGAATCACATATCGACCCCCTAGATTGGCCGTGATATCGAGGACCACAGTACAGCTGTACGACGATGATTGGTTGGTTGGTTGATTGATTGACTGATTAGCTGCTGATGATGATAATGATGGAGGATCAGTTATAACTCAGGACAGCCACCCCCGGGTCATAATCAGGCTTTCGGAGGCTTAGACGACTATGAATTAAAAACAATAGGTACACGAAACTGAGAACCCGAAGCCTCTGCAGAGAGAACTAGATGTAAGACTGTGTAAAGTCACTTGAGCGAAGCAAGTGACAAAAAGCATAACTCGTGCGTATGGTGGTGATGAAGTGGTTTGACCGCTATCAGTGGCGTGTTTCGGCCCTTTGGTTATAGGTTCGAGCCCCGCCATCGCCACTCAACTTTGATCATAAGTGGCTTTGCTGTTGTCCGGTTCAACACTCCAAGTCCCGGTTTTTCGCAGTGATACGATGAATCAAACGGCCTTCTTTGTTGTTTCACCAGTGATATTATCTCATCGTCCCACCTGACGAAGCTGTTCTACATCCATAGATGAAGGTACGATTCACCAAATTCCGAGGATGCCTCCGAAAGCCTCAATATGATCGCGGGTGGGTATCTAGGGTTGCGACTGGTTANACTGTCTTCTAGTAGTGGAGGTTTTCCCACCAAAGTGAGGGGACAAACAGCCAACATCCGGGGCTACAATCGGGTTGGTGGACCACTGGTAGTTCACTTAGGGGAGTCGGCCCAAAACTCTGATTCCAAACCAACCAAGAGGAGGCGTACGGACCACACATCGTTCTGGTTATGGTAGTGGTCATCGGCTCGACTGGGTATCAAGGTGTGTTGGGCACCTTGGATGTTTGATCCCGTCCACAGGGCGTATGATCCGATGAATTGGACACCGGCTCCCAATGGATTGTGTTTTTCGCAGACCGCCCCGCTGCTTTGCAGGTCAGGCTTTAGCTAGCCGAAGGCTTCGATTGTGTTCCTCAAGAAAATTTACCTGACGTGGCCTGGGCAACCTGGAAGTATTCAGCTCACATGCAAGAGATTATTGTACCATAATTTGTTCGGCACTCAGTCTGACCTCAGACGAGTGATATATATATATATATATATATATATATATATAATGTGATGCGGTTGCCGGAAAGCCGTCGTTGCCAAGCGAAAGCAACTTTATGGAGCCACAAATGAGATTTGGTTGACTGGTATAAGCCAAAGAAAGGAACCGCTGGAAATGTGGAACGATTGAAGCTCGGGATGCGGATGTCGGAGAACACACCATCACCAACAGAAGGAACCGTGTTGCAGGAATACGGCAGGTTTCTGAGCCAAAGATACGACCACTACCGGAAACCCCGACCCTACCTAATGGCTCCACTGAACCGGTTATGATTACTACATTGAATGTCTTTAGAAAGCCTCGGCATGCTCGGGAAAGGGTTTCTCCCATCTCGTGAAATCATTCTATACGACCAAGCATCTCAAATAGCCTCTGCTGAGGAAGAACTGATCACTTTCTTCACGTGGCAGACGTGCTTCCCCGCCAAATTGAGAGTACAATCGAGAATCGGGATTAAAACCGGGATGTTTGACCCCATCTCAATGATCCGAGTAACTGGAAACCAGCCAGGATGGATTGCAGCTTTTACATCAGTTCATGGACGGATTTTGTTGCACAGATTGATGAGCCTTGACATGCTCAGTAGTTCGCCGAGCTTGGCAATTGTATTGCAAACGTTTCATCACCAATCGCGGTGACATTATCAATGCAGCAACAACATATGGAGAAACTAATGCGAAAAAGGATCAAACACACTGCATCGAATGTCTCGCGACAGGTGTGCCATTGACGCCGGCGTCGAGTTATGTCGGTTAATGTCTCAATCCACAGATGTTCGCCGTTTTAAAACGTACTTTTGTTCGTTTATGGAGAACCCATTTCACTCCTATTTGGGTGTTTGTTATGCCAGATCCAGTCAAATAAGTAGCTCGTGACGACTCCAGCAGTAGTTTCCCGTGATAATTTATCGAAAGCATTTCAGCCTTCGTTCGCGGTTTGTTTACTTTTGAAAAAAACCGTCTACTCATTAGCATAAATTTACTTCCCAAAGACCAGATTGTACATTTATTTCATGAGAAACGATGTTTTGAAAATAGTCCATGACCGACGGTGGGAAGTAATCCAGACAACGGTCGTAAAGATCACAGGGCGGAACTTATAGATATGCTGAACGTTCACTGAAAGCGCCCCACAAAGACAGGACTTCTAGTAATATACTTTGATAGAAAAATCACGAAACAAGCCGTTTGAGTATGGTCCGTGAACTGTTGAGATTACCCACTGTTAGGTTGTGTATACGAAAAAAAAACAGAAACCGACAGTTCCCTCCATGAGCTTTGCCCCTATTCCCGTCGGACGCACATGCGCGAACAAAAGAGCGCATTGAATCAATTGTCATCTGAGGTTAATCGGTAAACGAATTGATACCAAAACCAAAAACCATGAATTCCCAATAGAAATCTATTTGTTGACTCACATTAACGGTTTTAATTGAAGCTGAACAGGTAAATTAAAAATGTGAATGACTGCCTAGGACGTAAAGTAGCATCACAGTTCGCCTCTCAGAAGTAATATAAGAAGTCCTGGATACCTTCGGGTTAAGTAAAACTGAATGCTACCAGGCGCGTCCCCGGGTTGTGGATACCTTCACCAAAGGTTAGTTGTGAATAAGTTGTGGCATACCGCAACAAATAAGCGGTCGCGAACAAACAGCGGCGGCACTACCAGGGTGTGGTTGGTTTCAGGCTAGTCACCTGGCGCCTGTTTAAAAGCCGCATAAGCCCAATGGCGGTGTCGTGACAAAGGTCGATGTGACTGTCCATTTAAAACTAAAGTCATTGACTCCCTCACTTCCGAGGCGAGGGATTACTTCCTGCTGCTTTGCAGTTCGCACTTGGTTGTGCAAAAGCTAGAGG